TGGTAGGTGACATACAGGTAAGATATATTGACCATGCTTTCTGTAACAGAGATAGGGTGAGACAGAGGGTATATTTTCCAGGAACTGGTGTTGGTGACATAGTCAACAGGTTGGATAATATCATTATGTTCAATGCTTTTACCACTTTTCTGCTGTTTTCATACAACAGTTGCATAAGGGAAGGGCAACTGGCTCCACATTTTAAGGTAAGTATTGTATGTACTGTATGGAGAACTTAATTTATGATAGTATAAGCACATTTTCAGGCATTTTAGACACATTCGATAATGAGAAAATGCTCTTTTTCCACCTGCTAGTAATTTTCATTTACATTGTGGGGTCAGGAACCAAAGAGCCATACAAACAGCTTTTTATTTTTTTCCCTCTTAGGGTCTAATACACAGTATTAGTGGGAACTTAAAAATGAGGTGTTAGCAAGGACCCCAATGGAAATAAGTCACTTTGTCTGACATTTTGGGTTATCCTAGGTTCTTTACACATATGCTGCTATGTATGATAATCTATGTAACTGTATGCTGCTATGTATGATAATCTATGTACGTAACTGTATTTGTGTATACCTGAATAAACTTACTAGCATGTAGTGCAGGGTGGTGTTTCTGGCATGTTGTGAAGAGTTGGAGGGCAGTGGCATGGTGTGGAGGGCAGTCAAGAATGATGGTGGTGGTGTGTGTATTGGCATATTAAGAAGAGCAATGATAAGTGGTGGTGGAAAGTAAAGGGAGGTGGTATGATGTGGTTCAGGAGGTTGAAGTGTAGTGACATACTTCACAACATGCCACCATACTTTGCTACCAGTGAAAGGTAGCAAAGTATGGTGGCATGTTGTGAAGAGGGATGGATGGTGACATTGAGTGTTGTGGTGGTGAATGCACTGTGATATCACCACGGTATGTCAACTGCCAAGTTTTTTTTTTTTTTTTTTTTTTTTTTTTTTTTTTTTTTTTTTTTTTTTTTTTTTTTTTTTTTTTTTTTTTGTCAAGGCTTTTCCATCTGAAAGAATTTTCAGGAGTGTAGAACATTACATAGGCTCGTAAATTTGTATGCTTTTTTTTTTTTCAACGAACCGGCTGTATCTCACTAAGGCAGAGTGACCTAAAAAGAAAAATAAAGGTTTTTCTTTTTAATTTGGTAATTTATACAGGAGAAAGGGTTACCAACCCCCTTGCTTCCAGTATTTTAGTCACCTCTTATGGCACACATGGAATGGATGCTTGTACTTAGAAGAAGTTGTTTCATTGTTTTATAAAATTAGAGAGTATGGAAAAAGAGGTGAATGAAGAAGGTGGCAGAGAGATAAGAGAGAAAGGCAAGGGAATAAATAATAGATATTTTTCTACTAAAAGGTTAATTAAGTCAATTTCGTTAATTGCTAATCAATTTGTTTTGATACATTAGTACAGGGCAACTATTTCAAATTAACTTTAAAAGAGTTTAAGGGTATTGTGAGTTTGTCTGGCATCTGTGAAGGAACAGTGGATGGCAGCACTGAATTAGACGGGCTGTGTGATGTTTATCCAGAGACTTGTCTCAGGTGCTGTCCTGGTTTGGCGTGCAAAGGGTGTTTTCTGCTTCTCTTTGATTGTGATAATTCCAGTAGTGTGCATTTTCTGTGCTCGTGCTTGCTGTTGAAAGTGCCTTTTGTTTTTTCCTTGCAGTTTGATGGTTAGAAAAAAAGTCAGCAGAAATGGGTAAAAATATCAATTTGAGTCCTTGCAAAGTGGTACAGATAAGCATTTAAGTGATAGTACATTGAAACAGAAAGAAATAGCAATAACACTTGGTGTTTCAATTCAGTAAAATTAAGAAGAAATTGAATTACGAGTGAGAATTGGAGTGAGATTAACAAGTTAAGGAAGCCTAGAAAACAAATGGATTTGTCAGTTACAAATAGAAGAGGAGAGTTATTAAATGGAGAGTTAGAGGTATTGGGAAGATGGAGGGAATATTTTGAGGAATTGTTAAATGTTGATGAAGATAGGGAAGCTGTGATTTCGTGTATAGGGCAAGGAGGAATAACTTCTTGTAGGAGTGAGGAAGAGGCAGTTGTGAGTGTGGGGGAAGTTCGTGAGGCAGTAGGTAAAATGAAAGGGGGTAAGGCAGCCGGGATTGATGGGATAAAGATAGAAATGTTGAAAGCAGGTGGGGATATAGTTTTGGAGTGGTTGGTGCAATTATTTAATAAATGTATGGAAGAGGGTAAGGTACCTAGGGATTGGCAGAGAACATGCATAGTTCCTTTGTATAAAGGCAAAGGGATAAAAGAGAGTGCAAAAATTATAGGGGGATAAGTCTGTTGAGTATACCTGGTAAAGTGTATGGTAGAGTTATTATTGAAAGAATTAAGAGTAAGACGGAGAATAGGATAACAGATGAACAAGGAGGCTTTAGGAAAGGTAGGGGGTGTGTGGACCAGGTGTTTACAGTGAAACATGTAAGTGAACAGTATTTAGATAAGGCTAAAGAGGTCTTTGTGGCATTTATGGATTTGGAAAAGGCGTATGACAGGGTGGATAGGGGGGCAATGTGGCAGATGTTGCAGGTGTATGGTGTAGGAGGTATGTTACTGAAAGCAGTGAAGAGTTTTTACGAGGATAGTGAGGCTCAAGTTAGAGTATGTAGGAAAGAGGGAAATTATTTCCCAGTAAAAGTAGGCCTTAGACAAGGATGTGTGATGTCACCGTGGTTGTTTAATATATTTATAGATGGGGTTGTAAGAGAAGTAAATGCGAGGGTTTTGGCAAGAGGCATGGAGTTAAAAGATAAAGAATCACACATAAAGTGGGAGTTGTCACAGTTGCTCTTTGCTGATGACACTGTGCTCTTGGGAGATTCTGAAAAGAAGTTGCAGAGATTGGTGGATGAATTTGGTAGAGTGTGTAAAAGAAGAAAATTAAAAATGAATACAGGAAAGAGTAAGGTAATGAGGATAACAAAAAGATTAGGTGATGAAAGATTGGATATCAGATTGGAGGGAGAGAGTATGGAGGAGGTGAATGTATTCAGATATTTGGGAGTGGATGTGTCAGCGGATTGGTCTATGAAAGATGAGGTGAATCATAGACTTGATGAGGGGAAAAGGGTGAGTGGTGCACTTAGGAGTCTGTGGAGGCAAAGAGGGGAATGTATGAGAGTATAGTTTTACCAACGCTCTTATATGGGTGTGAAGCATGGGTGATGAATGTTGCAGCAAGGAGAAGGCTGGAGGCAGTGGAGATGTCATGTCTGAGGGCAATGTGTGGTGTGAATATAATGCAGAGAATTCGTAGTTTGGCAGTTAGGAGGAGGTGCGGGATTACCAAAACTGTTGTCCAGAGGGTTGAGGAAGGGTTGTTGAGGTGGTTCGGACATGTAGAGAGAATAGAGTGAAACAGAGTGACTTCAAGAGTGTACCAGTCTGTAGTGGAAGGAAGGCGGGGGTAGGGGTCGGCTTAGGAAAGGTTGGAGGGAGGGGGTAAAAGAGGTTTTGTGTGCGAGGGGCTTGGACTTCCAGCAGGCATGCGTGAGCGTGTTTGATAGGAGTGAATGGAGACAAATGGTTTTTAATACTTGACATGCTGTTGGAGTGTGAGCAAAGTAACATTTATGAAGGGGTTCAGGGAAACTGGCAGGCCGGACTTGAGTCCTGGAGATGGGAAGTACAGTGCCTGCACTCTGAAGGAGGGGTGTTAATGTTGTAGTTTAAAAACTGTAGTGTAAAGCACCCTTCTGGCAAGACAGTGATGGAGTGAATGATGGTGAAAGTTTTTCTTTTTCAGGCCACCCTGCCTTGGTGGGAATCGGCCAGTGTGATAATAATAAAATAAATTTAAACTCATGAAAGGGTGGGAAGAAAACAACACCAAGACAAGACTGAAAAATAATATGCATGGCTCTTAACAACAGAAGAGCATCTTGCAGGCGGATTTCCTAGCAGCAGCAAGCCAAAGGACGGTTAATGAGAGGGTTTGGAGAGTGGATTGAAAGCATGTCATCCCAGAAAGAAAGCCATGACTTACTGAACCCACAATATTGAAAGTTTAGCCTGGGCTTAAAATCACATTGAGTGGAATTCTGAACAATGGGAGCAGGTAAGAATTACATTTAGCAATGCTGGATGATCATATGCTAACTGTATGACAGTGGTCAAGTGAAGAATTTATGCTTGAATGCTTGAAGAAAACAGTCAAATTTCCTTTGACGATAGTAGTGTGAGAGTCATTTCCACTCATGGAGCAAGTCATTTGCACATTGTTGAGGGTACCTTGAACCAGGTTAAGTACATATATATACAAGTACTGCAATGCTAAGATAAAGGATTGGTATGGTGATGAACACTGGATATTCCAACAAGGCTCAGTCCCATGTCACATGGCAAAATTAGTAGACGTGGTGTGCACAAAATGGCGTTGAGCTGCTCCCATGGGCTGGAAATTCCCCTGACATAAGCCCTATTGAGAGTTTATAGTCTGTATTAAAGAATGACATACTTGAAGTTCTCATTACGACCAAAGTGCAGCTCAGACAGTGCCTTATAAGGTTTGGTTTCATTATGCCATAATCAAGGAATTATGCAAAACTTTCATGGTTGTCATGATGCCCACACGTGTTAAAGCACTTATGGATGCTAGGGCTGGTCAAACCAAATATTAATCCTATGTAAAATAGTTGACCTGTATCAAAATAAATCCATTAGCAGTCAGTGAAATTTGTTTAATTGACCTTTTAGTAGAAAAAATATCAAATTTTAAAAAAAATCCATAATAATAATACTAGTACTGTAGATGTAAAGATAGATAAGGAAAAAATGTTGAAATGGTATTGTATGTAAATAGCATGTAAATTACATGAAAAAGCTCGTTGTGGGTGAAATGATATCAACTGCATGTAAGTATATTTGCTCAAAAGGTTAAGCAGCATTCAAGATGCAGTTGGTAAATTGTATTTGCTCTTTATTTGGAAATGGTGTCAAAACTTACATGAACTGCTTGCCTTTACAGGTCATACTGTCGATACAACTTTTCAAAGCAGAAGTTCCATATGAGCAAGATCCAGAGTGCCATGAAAAATCATGCTCTATATGAAGGCACTGAAATGGAGAAGCAGATTAAAAAAATAGATTAATGTATGTATTGTGTATTTCTGTAGACATCTTAAAATCTTCTTAGTATCAGTGGAATGTTTTGACACACAGATGTAAATATAATTATACTGGGATCATTCTGTACATTTTCTAATCCTGCAACAACAGTTTGGCTGCTGTATGTGACCTGGATGAGTCAAAAATGAGTATGATAATTAAACCATAATACTGTATAGAACCCTATACTGTACTGTATCATTCATCTCAAGTTATGTATGTATTATTGTATTTTATGTAATTAGAAGCCTTCTCAAGATACATGTATGGTTGTATTCCTAGAATTTATTGAGTGGATTTATAATGCAGGTAGGTTCTAATATTGTAAGTTTAATTGAAGTAGGCTCCAAATTTAGCATTTTATACAATAAATTACATTGGAGCAATTGCTGTAGAAGTTCAGAAATATGCCTGGAGCTCTTTACTCACCATTGGTTTTAATTTTGTAGTTGGCCAGACCTTACTGCTCATAACCTGGTTTATCACACTTACTACTTATATCTATCCACTTTCCTTTCAAAGGCCCATCTTTTCATGGCTAAATACATTTGCAGTAAATGCAAAATATCTTGATATCTTCAGTCTTGATTTTCAAAAAAATTCTTACAAATCCTCCTTCACAGTGACTTTATCATTTTGTCCCTCTCTGAATATAGTCTACTTAAGAACCTATTAGTCATGCATCTGTAGGGAATATATATTTTTTGAGAAGCTTGTACAATATTTAGAAGATGTTATATTGGCAGTTCTCTTCATTCCCATAATCAACACTAGCCAGATGTTCTCAATAGTCAGTTGTAATCTGCAGAGTCAAAATCTGGGATCTTTACTGCATTACCCTCACCATACTTCAAGCCAATGTTAAATCACCTGTCCCGAGCTCCTTCATCTCCAAATTGTTTACAACAATCTTGTTTGTCAGAACCCAAGCAAGGAAGTTATTTCCTCTCACTGATTAGTGCCTTAAGAAACTATCCTAAACTATATCAAGGAAGTTGCTTGATTCCAGATTCCCAGTAAGTTTGGCTAAAATTAAAATCCCTTAGGATTACTACATTTTCATATCTTGAAGCCTTAACAGTTTTTGTCCCTTGGCTACCTTAAGAACATAAGAAAGAAGGAGCACTGCAGCAGGCCTACTGATCCATGTGAAGCAGGTCCATCCCCCCCCCCCCCGGATTAGCCCAATGACCCACTTAGTCAGGTCACTTCCACTTAAGGAAGGAGCATGACATCAGACCTAGTAGCACAAGCTAGTCATGTCCAACTCACACCCACCCACACCCACTCATGTATTTATCTAACCTATTTTTAAAACTACACAATGTTGTAGCCTCTATAACTGTACTCGGGAGTTTGTTCCACTCATCCACAACTCTATTACCAAACCAGTACTTTCCTATATCCTTCCTGAATCTGAATTTTTCCAACTTGAAATCATTGCTGTGAGTCCTGTCTTGGCTGGAAATTTTCAGCACACTGTTTACATCCCCTTTATTTACTCCTGTTTTCCATTTATACACCTTGATCATATCCCCCTAATTCTATGCCTTTCAAGAGAGTGCAGATTCAGAGCTCTCAGTCTATCTTCATAGGGAAGATTTCAGATACATGGGATCATCTTTGTCATCCTCCTCTGTACGTTTTCCAGTGGATTTATATCCATTCTGTAATACGATGACCAGAACTGTGCAGCATAATCTAAATGAGGCCTAACCAAGGGTATATAGAGTTGAAGAACAACCTGAGGACTTCTATTATTTATACTTCTAGATATGAAATCAAGGATTCTGGTTAGCTTTATTGCAAACCCTAATGCACTGCTGTCTTGGTTTTCGATTACAACTGCTAACCAGAACTCCCAAATCCTTCTCGCAATCAGTAGTATTAAGATTTACATTATTTAGTTTATATGTGGCATGGCCTTGTAAGTTCAGGGATCAATAATACCTGCCTAAGATCAGATTTTCATCTTTAGAAAATTGCAACCATGCAGATTGCCACTTCCTTTAGAATAAATTTTATTTTTGATGCAACAGTTCATGTTTTCTTTGACATATAGCATTGCTACACCCTGTGCTTGTTACTTCTATTGTTGTGGATTATGTTTCTACCATCACTTCAGCTTCCTCTATGAGTGCAGTCTGGAAAAAAGTACGGAAACTGAGTGGTAAATACTCCCCCGACCCAACTCCTGTACTTCGGGTTGCCGGTGTTGATATAGCAAGCCCTCTTGACGTTGCCACTGAAATTGGTAAACATCTGGTCCGTATTTCTCAGGGGCTCCATCTATGCTCCTCGTTTCTTTCCTCAAAGTCTCATAATGTGCCTTTTACACTTCTGGAACTGGAGGCAACACGCTCTGCTTGCCGGTCATCGGCAGCTGGGCCTGATGGCATTCATATTCATATGCTACAGCATTTACATCAGTCAGCCCTTGCAGTCCTCTTATGACTATTTAATCTTATTTGGTCACAAAGAGTTCTTCCCCAGCTGTGGAAATCTGCCATTGTTCTACCTTTCCGCAAACTGGGTACTACGGGACGTGATGCCACCCACCACCGTCCCATTGCTCTTATTAGTGCAGTTTGCAAGGTGATGGAACGTAAATAGACATTTGATGTGGTATTTAGAGACTCACAATAGTCTCTCCACTAGTCAATATGGCTTTTGTAAGGACCGTTCTACCATTGACCCCTTACTATGCTTGGATACGTATGTTCGTAGTGCCTTTACCAGTAACCACTCAGTTATCGCCATCTTTTTTGACCTTTAGAAGACACATGACACAACTTGGAGATATAATATCTTGGCCCAGGCCCACTCCTGAGGCTTCCGAGGCTATCTACCATTTTTCCTTAAGAGCTCTTAACTGAAAGACATTTCCGTGTCTGGGTTAATAATATGCTTTCCCCAGACTTTGCCCAAGCTGAAGGTGTCCCCCACGGGTGTGTTCTGATCACAACACTTTTTCTCCTTGCTATAAAGGATCTGGCATCTATTCTTCCCTTCAATATTTGGTCATCACTCTTTGTTGATGACTTTGCTATAGCTTGTGCAGGCACTGACTGTCACCTCATTGCAGTTTCTCTCCAGCATACGGTCAACCATGTTTCCAATTGGGCCACCACTCATGAGTTTAAATTTTCTAGTAGTAAAACTCGCCAAATTACTTTCACTAGACATTCAGTCATCTCTGATCATCCCTTGTACCTACATGGCTCGCGTATCCCTGAATGTGAGACGGTCAGGTTTCTCAGCCTTCTGTTTGACTGTAGATTATCCTGAAAACCTCACATGACCTGCTGAACCTTCTTAAAACCCTTGCTCATCTTTCATGGGGGCCTGATCATAGAACTCTCCTTTGCCTACATTCAGCCCTAATTTTATCAAAACTTGATTATGGTGGCCAGATCTATTTGGCAGCCTCTCCTACTACTCTCTAGCCTTAATCCCATCCATCACCAGGGATTACGTTTATGCCTCGGTGCTTTTCGCTCCTCACCGGTAGAGAACCTCTATACAGAAGTGAATATTCCATCCTTGTCCGGTCGCCGTGATGCTCATTGCCTTCACTATTATGTTCACTCTCATGACCTCCGCAATCCTTCCATATACATGTATAGGATAGTCACTGATGTTAGTAGATGTTTCTGTTTACTCTGTCCCTTTTCTCTTTGCCTACATTCGCTCTTGTCTTCTCTTCAGTTACCACCTTTCTATGTTTATGTAGCATCTCACTTTTCCCTACCCCCTTGGGAAGTTCCAGCTGTTCGTGTCTGTTCTTTCCCACTGCCATGCGCGAAAGCCCAACTGCCTATGGTGGCTTCTCACTCTCTTTTTCTTGACCACTTCCCTTCTCATTCTCGTGCCATCGCAGTGTATGCCGATGGTTGTAAGTCTTCTGATGGCATTGTATTCACAACAGTGTTTCCGGACACTGTCTTGCGAGGGCATTTATTATCCTCAGCTAGCATTTTTACGGCTGAATTGTATGCCATCCTTGTAGTACTTATCCATATTGCATCTATGCCTGTGTCACCATTTGTGGTTGTTTCATACTTCCTTAGTGCTTTACAGGCCATACAAAAATTTGATACACCTTACCCCCTAGTTCTTCATATCCAACTTTGGTTACACTGTATCTCTAGCAGGTACAAAGATACAGTGGACCCCCGCATAACGATTACCTCCAAATGCGACCAATTATGTAAGTGTATTTATGTAAGTGCGTTTGTACGTGTATGTTTGGGGGTCTGAAATGGACTAATCTACTTCACAATATTCCTTATGGGAATAAATTCGGTCAGTACTGGCACCTGAACATACTTATTGAGTGAAAAAATATCGTTAACCGGGGGTCCACTGTATTGTTTTTTGTTGGGTCCCCGGTCATGTTGACGTACAAAGCAATGAACAGGCAGACACTGCTGCATGGTCAGCAGTACATGGCCTCCCAGTTTTATATAGAGGTGTTCCATTTATGGACTATGTATTTGCTGTAATTGCTACCCACCATCCCACCTGTTGGCAACAATGTTGGTTTGATCTGCTCCATAACAAACTTCATTCTATTAAACCAAGTATAGGTTTCTGGCTGTCTTCTTGTCATCAATATCGAGGTTTTGGGAGACTACTCTCTCCTGTTTTTGTATCGGCCACACTCGTTTTACTCACGGGTATCTCATGGAGAGGTGCCCTGTTCCTCTCTGTGAGAATTGTTAGGTTCAGTATCTGTTAGTCACATTCTGTTGGACTGCCCACACTATCAACGAGCACGCAGAATTTACCTCCAACGTCGTTTCCACTCTGCTACCCTTTCTTTACCTTCCCTTCTTGTTGATGGACCTTCCTTTAATCCTGACTCATTGACTTTTTGACAGCAACTGATTTACTACACAATCTCTGATGATGATGCCTCAAGCACTCCCCACAGTCCTTTCTACCTCAATCTCTTGCTAGCCTCTACCCCTGCACTATCCACTGCCCCACTGCATTCCATAACCTAATAATCATCCCTCTCCCTCTTGCTACCCAATACCCCTGCATCCTTCCCTGCCCTGCTGCGCTGTATGACCCTTGTTGTTTAGTGCTTCTTTTTTTTATCATATTGATATCTTTCTTGTGCATGTAATAAATCTCATTTTACCCATCATATTCTTAGCACTACAACTATTAGTACTGTATGATATTTTTTTGAAAAAAAAAAAAAAAATCCTTATATATTCCCTCTGTTTCTCTTGATTTTCTCTTTACTTTTCACCTTTTTATTTTTATGTGTCTCAAATTTTTTTCCTAGTTTTAAAATGAATTTCTTTATCATTATTTTGTGTACCACAGCCCCTGTTCATATTTGTTTTTCTGTCATGGCCCAATACAAGGTTTTCTTTTCATTATTGTTTGTAACTGCACAACACCCTCTTCCCAAGTAAACTTGTATCTTCATTCTCAATGAGGCTTAACCTTCAACAAGTTACGATCCATGCTTATCCCATGCCTATTTTTAAACACTGTTGTATTTATTGTTACTATACAACTCGTGCTATCTCATTTTGAAAAATTTGTAAAATTTTAATCTAATAAAATCAACCCTATGTTAGTATACAAACATTTAATCCTGACATTTTCGTAAATGACCCTTGTAAATTGCCTTTCGTATGCTACACACACACACATTGTTACCTTAGTACATATCAAAGGTTTTTTTTTTTTTATTGTCACGTTCATGGACCAGGCTGCGGGGGTATTGACCCCTGGAATGCCCTCCAGATATATAATCATTACCATTATTATTAATGGAAATGACAGGTAATAATGTTTGAGCCAATGAATGAATCTGAATTACATTATCATTCTGTATTCACAAGATAGCATTAAACCCATGTGGGCTATACAGTATCAGCATATTAAATGCCAAGCATTGTTTTAATGGTTTAGAATAATGTTTTCTGTAATTTCCAGAGGAAGATTATAAGGTTTCAGGAAAGTTATTAACAACCCATGTATCTTCAGTGGCTTGATGGAAGGATGTAGGACAGGTCTCCTTTTACAGTGCTATTAATAAGATGTAAGTTTTCTTACCTCAGTGGGAGATAACCAGCATGTTGAAAAAGAAATTTTCCAAGTAACAACATTATTTGTTAATTACAAAACCTAAACTGATCAGTGTGATATTTTAATATGAGTTATTATGTGGAATCTTGAGTACTATACAGTACAAAGGAATACAGTATGTCAGTCCTATTGCCCAAACGAAAAATTTATCTGTATATATGTATATATTTAATAAATCATATTCAATATCTTTAGCAGTATTTATCTTTACTAATGCCAGACTTAGTGTTAGGAATTTGCAGGCAAAATTTGTTTATTTAACCCTTAAAGTCCTCTTCAAGGGGGGGTCCTTGGCATGGTGAAGAGGCTCTTGGTCTGAGGAATTAGACCTGTCGGTCTACTTCCTCAGACAGAACCTAATTACCCCCCAATCCCCCGTTCCCTATCCCATCCTCCCCATCCTCCCCTTTTTCCTTTCCTCCTCCTCCTCCTATTCCCCACCCCTCCCTTTTGCCCTTCCTTTTTGGCCTTTTTTTTTTTTTTTTTTTTTTTTTTTTTCCACAGGCACGCTAGTTCCTAGGTAGCGGAAAGGGTACCGGGGTCCATCCCATTCCTTTGAGGTTCTTGGCGGTGGCGTAGTTTGCCGTGGAATCTGGATTGCCTGGGGATGTCCTGATCCCTCTCCGGTATCCCGGAGGGTGGCTTTGGGTGTCTCTCGGGCGACGGGTGTATCTCTGGAAGCCACCTTTCGGATTCCGGGGTTGGTGGCCGAAGGAGGTATGCTTTGTGGCGGATTTCCGGCCGCCCTGTCTTTTGTCCACCGAGGTAGCTCGGCAGATGTGAGGTTGCTATCCCGGATTGCCGGTTTACTGGCATGATGGGTAGGGTATGGCACGGGTTCCATGCTGCATCTGCGCTACTTGTGGTGCTGAGGTCCTCTTGGGCATGGAGGGAGATTTCTGGCCCTTTCATTCCTCCTAGGAACTATCCCTCCCTGGTCCCCCCCTTTTTTTATTCTTTTTTTTATTTTTATTTTCTTTTCTTCTTTCTTTTTTTTTCTTAAAAACAAAAAGAAAGAAGTAACCTAACCATGGCAGCCCTAGTCCATGAACCTGCTACCCCAGGCCCTTCTTGATACCGCACCCCGTTCTGACCCCACCTCGTCTTTGGACCACTCTTCGGACACTCCTCATGCCTCTGTACCTCTTGCCGGTGCTGTTCCTCACCCGCTTCAGGTACTGAGGCCTCAACTGACTCCTTCGATTTATCTGACCTTCGCTCTCCTCTGACTATGCTTCCGGCCTCTCCTCTACGGTGCAGCAATTTTCGAATCGCCGGCCGTTCCATGTCGGACCAACTCTGGCCCCACGCCTAAACGACAACGACAATTCCCTGCTGATGATACTTCTCCACCTTCTCGTTCTTCTCAGAAAAGATCGACACGTCCTTCACTACCTTACCACGCTCAGTTTCAGACTGCACAATGGACTAAATTCTTCACTTTACGACTGACTTCCTCTACTGCCTATCTTTTGACCACAGTATTGGCAAGGCACCCCTACGCCATTTTGGGTTAAAGATATTTCTTTTCATGCTCTTAAGAGCGGTACGCGCATCTTCACCGTACAGAATGCTACTCAGGCTCATGAGCTTTCTCGTCTTTCCCATATCGATACTGTTCCTGTAACTATTGAAAAGCATCATTCCCTCAATTCTTGTAGTGGTACCGTCATTCTGCCCCATACCATAGTTCAAAAAATTTCCAGACTTTGTGGCACTGACATTCTTGAACGCTGGAACCCCAAAGATCTCCCAATCCTCAAGGTAGACACTTACGTTCTTCCTGCCCGCGGACGGAGACGATACCTAGCAATGTGGCTCGTTTAACTTTTGACAGCCGTGAACTCCCCATCCTAAAGTTTATGTAGCAGGACATCGGTTACAAGTTCGAAAGGTGATCCCTAAAACCGCAACAGTGTAGAAATTGCTGGCGATTTGGCCACCAGCGAAATATTGCAGATCTATCGCCGAATGCCCAGTCTGTGGTGCAGATGACCATTCTAATATGTCTTGCAATCGACCTCCCTCTTGCCTTAATTGTCATGAGGCTCACCCTTCGTACTCTCGCCGTTGTCAAGTTACTTAAACGAGCGGGAAATCCGTTACCTCAAAGAGGCAGAAGGTCTCCCTTATGCCATGGCAGTTTTCATCTCCGCCTCCAAGGGGGGACTACCTCGGGGTTTCTTATTCCCGTGTTTCAAACGTCCCCCACTTCTGGTATCCCATCTTCTGCACCCACCTCTGTGGTTACCTCTCCCATAGTCACTCCTGTAGCTAATTCTTTTGCTGTCCTCGGCTCAGAGTCCCTACTTCAACGTCTCAGTTGATCTTGCTTCTTCGTGTTCTCTTCACAAGCCTCAGTAGCGACGAGATCTCGTTATGACACCTCCTCCCAATCGTCCCTCACTTCTCAAAAGTCAAAAAAAGGTCCGTTAACACCTCCTACCCATCTCCACCTCCTCCTTTTCCCTTCCCCGTCTCTGTACCTGGTTCTCCCCTCTCACTGGCTCTGTTACAAGTGTAGAGGTTCACCTCCTCCTCGTACTGTACCTTTTCCCCCCTGTTCCCCCCCAAGTTTCTTCCTCTTCTGCCACCTCCCAGGTTTCTGCCTCTTCTGTCCCCTTCCCCCTTCTCCCGTTCCCTCCACCCTTTCGCCCCCCCCACCTTGGTCAGTCCATTTTCAGTTCCAATCTTTACTCATCCTCCCCCTACCATTTCCAATATTGTCTCCCATTTCGACGTCTCTGAATTCTGAAACACTTGAAGCAATCTCTGAATATATTGCAGAGACCAAAAACCCTCAATGGACACTGATCCCCCCTCCGCTCCTTCTCTCTCCTCTACTCCATCTGTGCAACTCCTTTCTTCACAGCGCACCATTCCTTCCCGCTTGAACGTTTTCCACTGCCTCCGCATGTGGACTTTTCTTTAAACCCCTCTAGTCCGTAGGGAAACCCCTTTCAGGTATCTTTATCATTGCCCAAACATGGCCCCATTTACAGTGGAATATACGCGGCCCAGGGTAATCGGGGTGAGCTTCAGATGTTACTCTCCCAGTTTTCCCCTGTTGGTGTTTGCTTACAGGAACCAAAATTACACTCTGCTGTTTCTCTCCCATCTCAGGCTATAATTTATTGTATTCTTCAGATCCTTTTCTTGTGGGACCTTTAATGAAAGTGCCCTTCTTCTACACACTGATATTCCGTACCATCAGCTTTTGTTCGTACTTCGCTGCATTACACATCAGCCCGTATCCACTTGCATAGGTGGTATACGCTCTGTTCTTTATATCTCTCTCCTTCTCGGCATTATCTATTCCGGATATTGCCTTTCTTGTTTCGTCATTACCACCACCGATTCTGTTACTTGGTGATTTTAATGCCACCATTTTCCTCTGGGGGGGTTCCCCTGTGATTCCCCTGGCATTCAGTTAGAGGCTTTTCTTGCCACCCACCCCCCCTCCATGTTTTAAATACAGGTACTCACACCCATTTTGATCCTCGGACTCACACTCTCTCTTGCGTCGATCTCTCAGTCTGCTCTTCCTCCGCCGCATTAGACTTCACTTGGTCTGTTCTTCCGGACTTACATGACAGCGATCATTTCCCAATCATTCTTACTTCCCCTTCATATTCACCACCTCTTCGCATCCCACGCTGGCAATTTGATCAGGCAAATTGGAACCTTTACTCACACCTAACTGTTTTTAGCCCTTTGACTGTCGCGGCCGTATATATACGTCTTACGAGGTACCGTGTTTGACGTATATATACTCATAAATTCTAGCGGCTTCAAATCAAGCAGGAGAAAGCTGGTAGGCCTACATGTGAGAGAATGGGTCTGTGTGGTCAGTGTGCACCATATAAAAAAAATCCTGGAGCACGCAGTGCATAATGAGAAAAAAAAAACTCCGACCGTTTTTTTTTAATTAAAATGCCGACTTTGTGGTCTATTTTCGTATAGTATTTATGGTTGTATTCTCGTTTTCTTGGTCTCATTTGATAGAATGGAAGACATATTATAGAAATAGAGATGATTTTGATTGATTTTACTATAAAAAGAACCTAGAAATGGAGCTCAAAGTAGGGGAAATGTTTGATTTTTGCCAATGTTCAAAAGTAAGCAAATGATGCCATTTTCCAGTAAATGTCCCAACTAGCCATTTCTAATATGCAGTCATGAATGGGTTGATGTTATTTATACAATTATTACAGTATTGCAGTAGTCTGCATAATAGTAAGTCTTCAATTTTTTGTTTGAATAAAAATTCAAAATAGAAAGCAAGAGTAATATCAGAGGGGCCTGGAAACACGACTGATGAGCAAAGAAAATGTTATTTTAGAGCCTGGAATGTCTGCATTGTTCATTCTGGACCTTATTTTGAAATTGTCATATTTTTTAGTTTTCGTGAAATTGGCCAAATTGCAAAATTTCTGACCACATTATTAGGTAGTTGAAATCGGTAAATGGGCAGTTTCTTGTACTCAATCGATAGAAAAAATGGAGTTCTAAAGAAATAGCTATGAGTTTGGGCGACTGGAACAATGAAATTAGCCAAAAATAGGGCTCAAAGCGGGCAAAATCGCCGATTTGTAAACGGCGCCGAGGTCGCTAACTTTGCGAGAGCATAATTCCGTCAGTTTTCCATCAAATTTCGGGAAAAGATTCTCTATCATTTCATAAGAAAAATTTTTTTTTTTTTAAATTTTGCGACACCAGGACGTAAGACGTATATATACGGCCACGACAGTCAAAGGGTTAGAGAGGTTCCTTCTTCGTCCTCCATCGATGAGCTTTTACACCTCTTCTCGTCCTCCTTTTTAACCGCAGCTTCTCATTCTATACCCCAAACTTCGGGCAGGCATTCTCAGAAATGCGTGCCTTGGTGGTCTCCTGCTTGTGCTCGTGCAGTACGTTTGAAACGCGCTGCATGGGGCAGGTACCGGTACAACAGAACCACAGAGAGACTTCTTGATTTTAAGCAGAAGCGTGCGATCGCTCGCCGTGTCATCCATGACGCTAAACGCACTTGCTGGTGAGATTATGTCTCCACCATCACCTCTGCTTCCTCTATGAGTGCAGTCTGGAAAAAAAGTACGAAAACTGAGTGGTAAATATTCTCCTGACCCGGCTCCTGTTCTGCGGGTTGCCGGTGTTGATATAGCAAACCCACTAGATGTTGCCAATGAAATTG